GCCAAATACTTTCTGGAAATCTCCCCTGTAAGGCCTCACAGGGACCTCACAGTTAACACATCCCAAACGAAACACATCCCCTTTCCCTCAAACTCATTCCTCCTGTGTTCCCTTTTTCAGTAATTATTTCACTATCATGAGTCCATCTGCCCAAGCTTCTGGAGCCAGACTGCTTGGGTCTGCTCCCTACCAACACATGTCTTTTAGTCAGTCACTTATCCTCTCTGTGCCTAGGATTTTTCATCTTCAAAATGCAGATAATGATGATAATAATAACACCATCATTATTGTGAAGAATGCCTACCCCACTGTCAAAAATAAAAGCATAAAGTATTCGATAAGTGTTTGCTCATATCATGATGTGGTCGGGTCACCATCCTTTCTGCCTTAGATAATTACAATAGCCTTCAACCTAAACTGCTGTCTCACTCAACCTTGTATTAATAGCTACAGCCATCATTCTGAAAGGCAATTCTGGCCATTGTACCTTTCAATGGGTTCAGATCATTCTTAACATCAAGTCCCCAATCTTAACATCTATTTCATCGTTCTTAAGATCAAGTTCAAATCTCTGGCTTACAAGGCTGTTCACGATCTGTCCCCTGTTTACTTCCTTGCTTTTTTCTCTTGCTGTCTGCTTGCTCATGCTCTGCCTTCTGGTCATATATAAATCCTTATTATCTCTTCGTTGACTGCTCTACTTCTCCTCTGGGCAGTGACACAGACTGTTCTTTCTGCTTTGCTCTCAGATCACCCGCCTCCTTCATCTCCATAGTCTGTTGGGTAGCTACTTATCTTTCAGATTGCATCCTCTGTGCTCACCCCAGAGCCTGAAAAGTAAGTGTTTTACATTTGAAATTATTTTAAAATCATAAGAGTAATACCTTCTTAGGTACATCTCACAGACACAGCATATAGTTGCATTATTTTTTAATCCATTCTGACAATTTTACTTTGTAACTAGAGAATTTTGTTTGTTAATAGGTAATATAAATACAGTCACTGATATTTGGGGTTTAAATCTGCCATCTTGCCTTGTGTTTTCTATTTGTTTTTACCTGTTCGACATCTGTTTTTATTTACTTTTCTCCCTTTGCTTTTTGATTAACTAAAAATTTCTCTCTTCCAGTTTAGATGACTTAAGATGTGTTTGTTCTTTCAAGGATTGGCCTTACAAGTTAAAACATTCATATTTACGAAAGCTTACATTTAATAAAACTTCAAAGATAACATAAGGATCTTCCTTTACTCACTCCTGACGTGTCCATTATTTTTGCCCGGTATTTTAATTCCATAAGTATTTTAAGGCTCATGACACATTACAATCACTATTTTATACAATCAGTGTCCATTTACACTTGCTCACATATTTACCACTGCCTTCGTTTTTTATTCCTTCTTGCATCTCAAATCTTCTACCTGGGATCATTTACATTTCTGCCCAAAGTATTTCCTTCAAAATTTCACTTACAGAATATTTCCCAGTAATGAACTTCATTTTTACTTATTTGAAAATGTCTTTTTTCCCCCCCATTCTTTAAAAGTTGTTTTGAGGATTCTAATTTAGTAGTTTTCCTTTTAGCACTTGAAGATATCATTGTATTCACTTCTAGCTTTTTACATTTTTGTCTGTCTAATTGCTGTTCCTTCTGAGATAATATTACATCCCCGCTTCCTCACCAAAATGCTTTTTCATGTTTTTTGTCTTTATTTCTTTTCATGTTTTGCAGTTTTATTATAATGCACTTATATGTACAAGGTGTGATCAAATAATATGGTGAATGTTTAAATTAAAAAAATGTATTACAGTAAAAAGCACATTTCCATTAATCCTCGTCAAAATACTCCCCCTTGCATCAAACACACTTATCCCATTGCTCTTGCCACTTTCTGAAGCAGTTCTGGAAGTCCTCTTCTTGAGTGTCTTTAGTTGCACTGTCATGGCTGCCTCGATGTCCTCAATCATTTTGACTTTGGGGGAAAAACCAGAAATCACATGGTGCCAGATCAGGTGAATAAGGTGGATAAGGACACACCGTAATGTTTTTATTTGACAGAAATTGCCTTACCAGAAGCAATGTGTGACACAGAGCATTGTCATGATGGAGGATGATTTACAGCACACTTTAAAACACACCTTCTCTCAACCGCAGCTCACACCCGACTGACTGCACCGAACAAGTTGAAACTTGTCACACACTGTTACTAAGGTTCTTTGCACTGCTTCCCATATTGAAGATCCCTGTCTTTCCGTTGGATGGCACTCGGCGGCAGCATTCACCATATTTTGTGATCACAACGGAAAGGCTCCACGTCACACACCACTTCTGGTATACGGCAATTTCTGTCAAATAAAAACATTACAGAATTTACAGCTGAAATCTTTGTAACTTTGCTTACAATTGTCACCCCAATAAACTTTAATTAGAAACACACACACACACACACACACACACACACACACACACACACAAGTAAACATTGCGGTGTGTCCTCATCCACCTTATTCACTGGATCTGGCACCATGCGACTTCTGGCTCTTCCCCAAAGTCAAAATGACCACGAAAGGCAAATGCTTTGAACTGATTCAGGACATCAAGGCAGCCATGACAGTGCAACTAAAGACCTTCATGAAAGAGGACTTCCCAGAACTGCTTCACAAAGTGGCAAGAATGATGGGATAAGTGTGTTCGAAATGAGGGGAAATATTTTGAGGAGAATCAAGTGTCTTTTACTATAATACATTTTTTTAAATTTAAACATTCACTGTATTGTTTGATCACATCTTGTAAATCTCTTTCTTCTGAATCTATTCTGCAGGAATTGGCTGGGCATCTTTCAGTTTATGACTGGTGTCATGCATCAGTTCTGGAAAAGTCTAAGCCATTGCCTCCTGAATACTGCCTCCCCTGATTCCCTCTCTTCTCTCTTCTGGGACTCCAATCAAATAGATGTTTCTAGTGGGTTTCCCTTGAGGGCAGGGTCAATATATTTTCACCTGAAGATAACTCCATTGTTGAGAAACGACCCAGGACCTTGATTACGGGCCTTCAGAAAGTGTCTCTTAAATAAATTTGAACACTGGGCAGAAGTTTAGCCCCCCAAGTATAATTAATCATAAGATGTGCCAAGTCTAAAATAAATTGACATCTGGAAGAAGGGCTTGCTTTACCAATTGCAATTGGAAAGAGCAACATTTTATATATATATATATATATATATATATATATATATATATATATATAAATAACTTTTTTTAATTAAAATTTATTGGAGTGACAATGGTTAGTAAAATTACATAGGTTTCAAGTATACATTTCTATAATACATCATCTATATATCATATTGTGTGTTCACCACCCAGAGTCAGTTCTCCTTCCATCACCATATATTTGACCCCCTTTACCCTCTTCTACCACTGCCTCCCTCCTTACCCTCTGGTGATCACTAAACTATTGCCTGTGTCTATGAGTTTTTGTGTCTTTGTTTGTCTTGTTCCTTTGTTGCTTTCAGTTTTATATCCCACATATTAGTGAAGTTATATGGTTCTTGACTTTTTCTGTCTGGCTTATTTCGCTTAGCATAATAATCTCAAGATCCATCCATGTTGTCGCAAATGGCACTATTTCATCTTTTCTTATGGCAGACTAGTATTCCACTGTGTATATATACCACATCTTCTTTATGAATAATGCTGCAATGAACATCGGAGCACATATATTTTTATAGATAAATGTTTTCAGATTTTTTTGGTATATACCCAAGAGAGGGATGAGCAATAATTTTCAATAAAATTAGGCTAACTAATTTTATTGAAGCTTTGTGGTGCTCAGTAACAGCTCTCAGTGGTAAACACTGAAAATGTATATATCACCATTGACTGCTTATTTTCCTTGATAGAAATAGCCATCTTTTTATGTATTTTATATCATTACCTAAGAAGGAAGTGCTTCCACAAAAAGTCAGTCAAATTCTCCTGAGTCATCCAGGTGCTGTTCTGCAGGTTTATGATGGCTCTAGGCCATGATTACTAGCAGATTCCCCGCCTTCTCTGAATGTTCTTCCTCTATTTAAGCAATTCCTCTTTTTGCTGTCCTGCATTGCACCTTAAGAACTGTGGTAGGTTGGGGGATCAATCTGAGCTCCCAGGAATAGTTCTGAGAGTCCCATGATTACTTTTTGGGATTCAAGGAGCTCCTGGGGGATAAAGGGGTAAAAGACTTGACAAATGACAGATCTTTTACTAATTATTTTTTCCTTCTCTTTTTGGAATAGTTGCAGTTTACAAGATTGAAAATTTGGCACAGTAGTGAAGTATTTCCTAGACTTCCTAACTCTTCCTTGAGATTTAAAAGAAAATATCTTTATAAATACCAGAGATGCCAAAAAAAGTATACATTTTAAGTGATGTTATTGATGTATTACTTTTTGAAGTTTAACTGAATTACCGTAGCAATGTATAGTATGGCATTCACTCAAAAGATGGCGTAAATCAAGTGAATGCTAGTGTCATTCACTGTATTACAATTTTAATACAGTTTTTTCCTTTCTTAAAATGTGTATACTTTTTTTTGGTGCACTCTGTATTTAGAAAACCAAGACATTCATATTTTTAAAACAAACATCCCCTCGGATCCAAATTTTCTAGTAGGTGTTAAGTGCTTTCTGCTTGATTTGCCTACAGGGTAGATTAATTGCTAGTGTTTAGAAATGTTATATCTTTTCTTTCTGCTGGAAGTTCACTTAATGGAAGCCTTTACTGATAATCGAGAATGAACTGAGGCAGGAGACTCCTTATGTTTAGTTTACATCAGTTACATTGCTTCTAGCCCACTTCTTTTTTAAAACTAGGGTTGGAGCAGTAAATACACTCAACAGATTCAGAAAGAAATGCATCACTCTTTTTTGTGTACAAGGCATCTAATTAGAGGTTTTACTCCCAAAGACGCATTGGCCAACAGGTTGCTGAAACCAACAATTTTGCAACACCTCCTCACACCATGGAGAGAAGAGACCACGCTGGAATGGCCAGGTACGTCACTCAGTGTGCAGCTTGGTTCTTCCCCCGAAGCCCAATGGTCCTGAAAGTCTGCCTTAGTAAAGATGACCACTCACTGTGGCTCTCAGCAGCTCACAAAAGCTCACGCCCACTGCCGGCCAGCCCCACTGCAGCATACGCCATCACCGGTGACTCACAGCAGCCCAGCTCCAAGTTGAGCTGTTGTTCACCATCTTAGCTGTAGAAGGTAGTGTCACTGGCCCTCATATGTGGGATCCAAACCGGGGCCCTGCTGCTCAGAGCTGGCGTCCCAAGCCAACTCCTAACCAATGCGCCACTCGGCCGGCTCTGGTCTTTGATTCTTTCTGTCGGTGAAAGGAAGAGGATGGATGGATGGGGGAGAAAAAAGGGGAAGAACCTAAGAGTGAGAGCGTTCTACTAACTGTCCAGGCTCAGCAGCAATGGGCATTATCTTCCCAGGCTTTACTGTCACGTGAGATCTTGGCCATTACTTCACTGTGCATTGTAGACGTCCCATCAGTATGGGTTCTGAGGACCCATTGAGACTGACACCATTGTAAATAAGTGAAAAGCAGCTCCTACCCCATTCCCAACCCAAAGGAAGATGGTTTTACCTTGAAATTAATGATTCAAGATTTTACACCTAATTTTGTATTCATAACTTTGTATTTGTTTCCTTAAAGAACTCCCCTCCTTCCTCAAATGATATCATGGGCTTCAGGTACTGCAAAACCTGTACCCACCCTTGTCCCAACACATTTTTGTTACTGAGAATGCAAATAATTTAAATAGATTGAAGTAGGGCTTCTTACTTGAAAAACATGAATTGTTTTAAAGAAATGTTGAATTCAAGTGATTATTCTAGACTCTTTAATAGCAAAAAAACAACAACAAACAAACCCAAAAACAAAAAAGAGGTCAGAAATGTCACCCATTTGCTATGTAGTTTTTGTCAAACTGTGGTAGCCTCTACTGAAAGCTTTATACTCCTTGAAAAATGATTCTAACACTTTTCAAGAAAGTGGTAGAACCTATGGGATTCTCATTTAGGGCTGATCAAATAAGTTTGTCAAAGATGGGGTTGGTTAGTAGGAATATAGCTTCAAGTATGAATGTTCTTCTTCAAAAGAAAAAACTGAAATTAGTCCTTTTTGTTTATATTTTTAAATCAGCAATTATTAACTTATTTGCCCAAATATAAGGCAAGGAGTTTTTCTTTGAAAATTGTCATTCCTCCTCAAAGAAGTTTAAACTTGTGCTTAAGTTTGTGTAAAGCATCTCATATTATATGTTCCCTCAATTATTTTATCATGAAAAACCAAGTCTTCTTTAGAGAAAACATGTTGCCTGAAAAGATGTCAGCCAGTGTAGGTTTTGAATGCTTATAGAGATCAACTCACACAATTGGTACTTAAAAAAAACAAAAGGAGGCAAAACAGATTCCATTATTACACTAGGGTTGATGGCCTCACATTTGGGAAGGTTCTAGATCTTTGTAAACATTTAATGATCAATTTGAAAACTTTAAAGGAAGTGTTTAAATCATGGAGAGCACAAATATATACATATAGGATGAATTTTTAAAACAAATTATCCTACTACTAGGTGAATAGATGCTTGGATCTTGGGGTAACAGTTCCAGTGACAAAATTATAGACAGATGCAAAAAGTTGTATTCTTCTAACACGCAGGAGGAAGTGAAAATCATGAAGACTTGAAAAGTAGCTCTAGTGATCATGAAGACACTGAGATCAAAGCTGCCCATAAACTGTTTAGATAAAACTATTCTCCAAATTGTGTAAAAGGCAATTTCTAAATTGTGTAAAAGGCAGTTTCTAAATCATTTTTATCATTTTAAAGGTGAATATGAAATGTACTTACTAAATGCTGTATAAAGATATGTGACTATTTCACCTACATTCCTAAAGTTTACATATTTAAATTGTCAAAAAAAACCCCAAAACCCATTACCCCCACTCCTTTTCTTTTGACTTTTCTTATTGGAAAAATTGGAGATCGCTTTGTAGTTGAACATACGAGGTGCGATAAAAAATTACGGTGAATGTTTAAATAAAAAAAATTATTACAGTAAAAGACATAATGCTATTAATTCCCCTCAAAATACTCCTCCTTGCTTCAAACACACTTATCCCATCGTTCTTGCCACTTTCTGAAGCAGTACTGAATTCCTCTTTCATGAGCGTCTTTAGCTGCATTGTCATGGCTGCCTCAATGTCCTGAATTGATTCAAAACATTTACCTTTCATGGTCGTTTTGACTTTGGGGAAGAACCAGAAGTCTCAGTGCCAGATCCAGTGAATAATGTGGATGAGAACACACTGTAATGTTTTTGTTGTCGGAAAGTGGGCCCTTTTTGGCGCGAAATCCAGGTCCTTGGCAACTCGAACAAGGAATTGAACGAGATGCCAGAGTAAAGCGCTGAAAAGTAGTTTATTTGAAAAGATAATACATTTCAAAGAGTAGAAGTAGGCCCGAGCAGTAGAGAATGGCTCAAGGGCCCGTTATTAGAAGAGAAATTACATTCCAAAGAGTTTGGAGCAGGCCACGCAGAAGGGCCAGGCTCAAAGGGCTCAAAAAGGAATAAGCAGTCAAGAGAGCAGCAGGGCGTCCAAAGAGGGAAAAAGGGAAAAAGGCTCGAACTTTCCAAGATTTGGGGTTTTTATCCCTTCTCTAGAATGGGCTGTTCCCCTAAGCGCGTGGTACCGCTTGACTGGCACCTGTGATTAACAGGATGTACTGCGCAGATGCGAGTGACTGATCTGATCTAGTTGTACCCATTTGTTTTAGGGGTAGATAGTTACAATGAAAAGAAGTTTTGGGTGGAGAGGGGAGGTCACTTGGCGGTCACATTCTGTGGGACGTGCAGGAATACAGAGACCCAATGTCTGCCTCTATCTGCCCACCTAGCCTTCCCCTTGAGAGACGTGATCCCCATGAAATCTCTATGGGAAGCTGAAAGACAGGAGGTCTCTTCTTCTGTATCTGCTTCCTGCTGGGCAGGGGCATAGAGCTGTCCCTGCCTATTGGGGGAGTCACAGAACTCTCACCCTACCTGATCTCAGGTGGAAGGAAGGAGTCTTGAGCTCCACCTGGAAGACCGTGTTGGCTTCTTTGGTTGTGACCAGCAATCTTGTTGGGGTATCCTTTGTATCCCCAAAGTCCCTGAATGAGGAAAAATAGATTTTAATTAATAAATCTGTTAGCTTTCATGAAGCTTGTTGCCATTCAGGTAGTATCAGTTGTCTGGGCCCTGAATGGGTTTGGCATTTAGCGTACTGGCCTGGGGGACATTAGGAAGTCACAGACTTTCAAATAGTTACGTGAAGCAGGAGACTTCTATTGTTTAGGATTCAGAAACTGATTTACAAAGCAATCAAGAAGCAGGGGGATAGACCTTTAGGATTCAGGCTAGAAGCAATCTTTAGTTTAGGATTTACAAACTGGTTAGAAAAGTAATCAAAGCCAAGGGTTAAGAAACTAAGAAACGAGGGAGGAGACTTAGCATTTCTATACTTAATATTTCTATAGGAAAGAAAACTTATAATTCTTTGAGGGGGGGCCTCTCTTGGCCGGTAGCATTTTTATTTGACAGAAATTGCCATTTCAGAAGCAATGTGTAACACAGTGCTATCGTGATGGAGGGTGCGGTAAAGACACACATGAAAGAGGACTTCCAGAACTGCTTCAGAAAATGGCAAGAATGATGCAATAAGTGTGTTCAAAGCAAAAGGGAGTATTTTGAGGGGGATTAAAGGAAATGTGTCTTTTACTGTAATAATTTTTATTTAAACATTCACCATATCTTATGATCACATCTCCCATTCTCCTCATAATTAAGATTTCCATTAAAACACACCTAGGGCCGGCCGAGCGGTGCATTGGTTAGGAGTTGGGTTGGGACGCCAACTGTGAGCAGCAGGGCCCCAGTTCAGATCCCACATGAGGGCCAGTGACGCCGCGCCCTCTACAGCTAAGATGATGAACAACAGCTCGACCTGGAGCTGGGCTGCTGTGAGTCGCTGGCGAAGGCGTAGGCTGCAGTGTGGCTGGTCAGCAGCTGGCCTGAGCTTTCATGAGCTGCCGTGAGCCACCATGAGCAGCCATCCCATGGCCGGTGAGTGACTGCCTCACTCGGGAAGAGCACAAAGATAATACCAACATGGGCCAGTGAAGTGACGTCCTCCACAACTAAACTGAAGAACAAAAAGGATAGCAACTTGTCTGTTCCCCTTCCTAATTACCCAACGCTGTTCCCCTCCCCAAATTCCTCAATAAAATATTTTTAAAAAACCAAAAAACCCCACACCTAATTCAGTTTGAACAATTAATTGATATATGTAATGTTAAATATATTTGAATTTTTTTCCTAGGAATGAAAAAGTTCTGAACTGCTCATACCCAAACCCTGGTGCAATTTTCAAGCTGATTTGCTTTCCCTGGGCAGGAGGTGGCTCCTTTCACTTTGCCAAATGGGGTCAAAGTATGCAAGATTTCGTGGAAGGTATGTTCATCTTCACTACCTTCTAAGCAATTTATAAGGTCAAATAATATGCACATATAAGAATCTGAAGCACAGTAAAGATTTTCCTTATTGGTAGGTAATTAATAGTAATAGGCATTCAAGATTGCTCTTCAATATGGTGATTTTTATATTTCTAAAGTAAGAAATCCTGTTTTCATTTTGTGTTATTATGAGAGCTAGAGGACTTTTTAAGGAACGGCATTCTAACCCTGTACTTGTTTTAATGTAATTATTGATATGGTTGAATTGATTGAACCTACTATTTTCCAATTGTTTTCAGTTTGTCCCATCTGTAATTTGTTCTATTTTTTTGTTTTCTTTTGAGTGAATGCATGTTTAAAATTTTTTCTATATGCCTCCTCTATTGCCTTATTAGCCATGTTTTTCTTTTATTGTTTTAGTGGTTGCTGTAGAATTTACAATATACATCTTTAACATTTCATAGTCTATCTTCAAATGACATTCTCAGTTAAACTTATTCCTAAGCATTTTTTATGCTATTGCAAATGGAATAGTTTTCTTCGTTTCTTTTGTCGATGTATGCTGTCAGTGTACAGAAATACAACTGATTTTTGTATGTTGATTTTGCAACCTGCAACTTTCCTGAATTTGTTTATTCTAACAGTTTTTTGGTGGAGTCTTTTGGGTTTTCTCCATTTAAAATTATGTCATCAGCAAACAGACAATTTTACTTCTTCCTTTCTGATTTGAATGTCTTTTATATATGTTTTTTTCCTGCCTAATTGCTCTGGCTAGAACTTCCATTACTATGTTGAATAGAAGTGCCCAGAATGGGCATCCTGTTCTTATTCCTGATCTTAGAGGAAAAGTTTTCAGCTTTTCAGCACTGAGTCTGATGTTAGCTGTGGGCTCGTCATACATGACCTTTATTATGTTGAGGTACACTCCTTCTATGTACACCTATTTTTTGAGAGTCTCACAAAAAGATGTTACATACATTTTATGCACCTATGGAGATGATCATATGATTTTTATCCTTTATTCTGTTAATGTGGTGCATCAACTGTACTGATTTGTGTTGAAAATTAGTTAAATTATGGAACATAGCTGCAATTGGATATGATGCCACTGTAAAAAAGAGTGAGTAAAGTCTATATGTGTAGATATGGAAAACAGTTTATGTCACATAATGATGTGAGGAAAAATGCAAGTTGTAGAACAGTGTTATACTATACCATTTGTGTAAAACCTTAAAAAGATATATACTCACAAAAACAGATTAATATGATAGAAGAGTATATAAACATACGGAAGGCATACAAAAACATGGCAGAATACACAAAACTGTTTACAGTGGTTTCCTTTGAGGTGATGAAATAAGATTGAGGAAGTAGGGACATTTTGTCTTGTATTTAATGCATTTTTATATTTGTGGGATTTTTTTTTTCTGGTTACATGCTTGCTTTTCTTGGAAATGGAAACATTATTTTCTATACTTCCACTCTAAAGAGGTAAGGAAAGAAGGATTTTCTCCAGGTCCTAGCACTAAGCAGAGCTGCTTGAAAGTATTTTGGATAATGTAACCCACTTTGTAAACGGGAACCATTATTGTTCTTTGCAGGGCAAAGACTGGCCTTAGTACAGTTTATCCACTAGTGTGCACAGTTATACACAAACATTTTTGGGGCTTCCTTTTCTTGGCATTATTTTTTATGCCAGCCCCTACATCCATCTTCATTCACAACAAAGGTTGGGCTGTAATTCCTTGGGTTTTTTTTTCTTTCAATGTTTTATATTTAGGTATGATTGTTGTAGCTATTTCATAAAAAGAATTTGAACACTTTCCTTCTTTTTCTATGTTCCAGAGAGTTTAGGTGGCATTTGATATTATGTCCTATGAAAGTTTAGAAGAATTTTCCTAGAAAACTAGTGCTTTTTTTGCATGGGATCCTTCGGGAACTCCCTCTATTTCTTCTATGAAAATTATCTGTTTAAATTTTCTATTTTTATTGGGATCAATTTTGGTAAGCTGTATTTTTAAAAAAGACACAAATTTCATGTAAATTTCCAAATTACATAGAATATTGACAAATAGTCTCCTTTGATTTTCAAAAATTTCATCAAGTTCCAGTTATTTCCTCTTATTTTGTGTATTTGTACTTTCTCCTTTTTCTCTTAAAGTTTTATAATGATTTTTTAAAACACTTGCAATTTTTATTTATTAGTTCTACTATTTTCCTGCTTTCTAACACATTAATTTATTTTTTATATTTATTATTTCCTCCATTCTACTTTTTCCATTTAATTTGTCCTTTTGCTATATTTGTGAGTTGAGATATTGAATTCATTTATGTTTTTGGTGTTTTTTTTTTTCATTTTTGGCCTAACCATGTAAGGCTATGAGTTTTCCTATGATCACTGCTTTAATTGTATCTCATGGATTCTGACATAGAGTAAATGTTTAAAATCACTTTTAAAATTTCAATAACTTCATTTTCTATTTTTCTTTTGACCCAAGACTTAGAGAATTAAAAAAATAGTTATAGGGGCTTTAAAAATGTATTGCTTATATTTATGATTTTTAGTTGTATTGCTTTGTTTTCAGAGATTGGTGCTTGTTTTATTTTTACTCTGTAAAACTCTAATGATTTTCATATCCTCATAATATATCAATTTTCATGAATGTTCTATGAGTGCTAAAAACAAAAGTGCATTATCTATTTCAGAGGACATAGTTCAATATATACCCATAACACCTACTTTATTGATGATGTTTACTTTTACTGTCCATTTCACTGCACTTGAACTGATAGTGGTGTATGAATTTTCCTCTTATTAGTTAATATTTTAAGGTGACTAGTATGGGTCAATTTTCCCAAGTATATGATAGGTTCTTTCAATACATAGTTTCATATTTTATTCCAGGCAAATTTGTATGGATAATAATTTCAAATAGTAGTGTTTTTGAGTGTTTTATTTTGCTTGGCTTTCTTGAGAGCCTCCATTTATTCCTATGTTGAAGCTTTTTCTGCCCTTATGATTATTACTTTATTTTGGGGTCTTTTCCCTCTTTCTTTCTTTTTTTTTTTTCTTAGCTCTTTTATTCCTGTTCCGTATATCCATTGAAATACTTTGCATCTGTTGTCTCACAGGCAACTTTGTTACAGTCATTTTCAAAATAATTGTCTTTTTTTTAGAAAGATTTTTATTGGGGAATTGGGGGGATGGGAACAGTGCTGGGGAATTGGGGGAAGGGGAACAGACAAGTTGCTGTTGTTTTGTTCTTCAGTCTAGTTGTGGAGGACGTTGCTTCACTGGCCCAAGTTGGCACCATCATTGCGCTCTTCCTGGGCGAGGCACATCAGTCGCCGGCTTCTGGACGGCCGCTCACTGCGGCTGCTGGCCACTCACGCTGGCTGCTGGCCACTCACGCTGGCTGCTGGCCACACACGGTAGCCCATGGCAACCCACTGCCACAGGGGCTGCAGCCCACGCCGTCGCCTTAAGGCAGCCCAGCTCCAGGTTGAGCTGTTGTTCAGCATCTTAGCTGCAGAGGGCAGTGTCACTGGCCCTCATATGTGGGATCCGAACCGGGGCCCTCTGGCGTCCCAAGCCAGTTCTTAACCATCGCGCCACTCGGCCGGCCCAAAATAATTGTCTTTTGATTCAATTTCTTTCCAGTATTCTATCAGTTCTTTTTCCAATTGTTTGTCTATTTCTATTCAGAATTTTAAATTTGTGAGTTAGTATTCTTTTATTTCTCTAATTTCTTGTTTGATTAAATTTAATCCATGTTGGAGTATTGTATTAAGTTTTTTTCTGCTTTGTGAGTTTTAAAAATATATTTTCATTAACTGAAAAAGTTTGATTTATACTTTATGTATTCTGAGTGTTACGTTTATCTCTGTTTACAAAATGTGTTGGATTTTCCCGACCAGGAAAAAAAACAGAGTTATTACTCTGTTCCTTGGCTCGAGCGTGTTTTCTTCTATTGCTATGGTGAAGTGCAGTTTTAAAAAAATAAATGGCACCTTGTTTGTATGGCTGGGGATACTGTGTATTCGTCTGACTCTTTGATATTACCACGTCTCTTATCTTCAGCTCCTTCTATATTTTGCCTTCAGACCTCTAAGAGACATTTCCCCTTTCCAAGGTGCTCCTCTCTCTCCTGCAAATGCTGTCTTTCCAACACTACACCTCTACGTTCCCTCATACTTTCCAAGCCCCTTCCTTTCTACTCAGATACCAGGTCTCAAACAAAAAAAAAAAAAAAGAAGAAACTACCCATTCATTGGAAGAAGAGAGCCCTGTTATTAATGCAGAAATAAATCTTTAGAAATTATTGGAAGTACTTTCAAAGTTTTCATCAACAGCTGGTGGTTCAATAGAGACAATTAAAAGCTGCTCCTTTATACTCATTTTTAAATAGTTCATATATAAAAATGTATAAAGAATAATACCTCACACCTAACCATGCCCACTGCTCCACCTAAAGAATAAAACATTACAACTAAATAATATTTAATTCTCCATGTACTCCCTTCCCAATTGTATGCACTCTCCCTTTTTGGCCTCCTCAAATACTGATCCAAATTAGATATAGCATATTTCATGTATTTCTAACATTATATAAATGTATCATATTGTAAACATTCCTGTAAAACTTGCTGTTTTCTCCTAAATTTATTTTTTTGAGATTCGTTACGTGGATATGTGTATCTCCACTTCATTGATTTTTAACTATTGTATAGTATTCCATTGTGTGACCATAACACAATTTATGTATGTACCCTTTTCTTTATAGTCATTAAAGTCATTTATATTGGTTTGCTCTTATTAATAATGCTTCTATGAGCAGTCTTATGTATGTCTTCTTGCATACGTGTGTAAAGTCTACAAGAAGGAGTGGAATTTCTGGGTGGTAGGGTATAAATGTCTTCAACTATATGAAATATTACCAAATTGTTCTTCAAAGGAATTGGAATTATTTACACTGCCAAAGCAGCATATAAGAATTCTTATTGCTCTATATCCTTGAAAACACTGTTATTGCCAAAGTTTTTTGCAAATTTGGGCATGAAATTATTCTGATTTAATTTCTCCCAGTTTTACAAAGATATAATTGACATTAAACACTGTATAAGTTTAGGGTGAATAATATAATGATTATATATATATATATATATATATATATATATATTTCAAAGTGCTCAAAAAGTGTAGTTAACATCTATCACTTCACACTCAAATAGCTACAATTTTTTCCTGTGGTAACTTTTAAGATCTACTCTCTTAGCACCTTTCAAATATACAATACCGTATTGTTAACTATAGTCACCATGCTGTACATTACATCCCCAGGACTTATTTATAATAATAAAAACAGTGTGACAGAGGCATAAAAACAGACACATAAACCAATGGAATAGAATTGAGAGCCGAGAAATAAACCCAAGTATGTCTGGTCAACAAATATCTGACAAGGGAGACAAGAATATTCAATGGAGAAAAGACAGTCTCTTCAATAAATGGTGCTGAGAAAATTGAGCATCCATATGTAAAAAATGAAACTGGACCCCTATCTTAACACTTTATCTTATCATAAAAACTAAGTCAAAATGGATTAAAAACTTAAATGTAAGAACTGAAATCATACAACTTCTAGAAGAAAACATAGAGAAAAAGCTCTTTGACATTGGTCTTAATGACTTTTTTTTAAATGACACCTAAAAAGTATAAACAACAAAACCAAAATAAACAAGTGGGACTACATCAAACAAAAAAAGCTTCTGCACATCTAATGAAACCGTCAACAAAATGAAAAGGCAACCTATTGAATGGGGAAAAATATTTGCAAACCACACATCTGATAAGGGGTTAATATTCATAATGTATAAGAAAGTCATACAATTAAATACAAAAAGAATAATCCAATGAAAAAATAGGCAAAGGACCTGAATAGACATTTTCCAAAGAAGACATAAAGATGACCAACAGGAACATGAAAAGATGCTCAGCATTCGTAAACATCAGAGAATTGCAAATCAAATCACAATGAGGTATCACCAGTTAGAATGGCAATTATCAAGAAAACAAGAGATAAAAAGTGTTGGTAAAGATATGGAAAAAAAGGAACCTTTGTGCACTGTTGGTGGGAATGTAAATTGGTACAGCTACTGTGGAAAACAGTATGGAGGTTCCTCAAAAAATTAAAAATAGAACTACCATACATGATTCAGCAAAGCCCACTTCTGGGTATATATCCAAAAGAAATGAAATCACTATCTTGAAGAGATAGTTGCACCCCCATATTCATTACGGCATTACTTACAAATAGCAAAGGGATGGAAACAACCTAAGTGTCTATCAACAAATAAATGAATTAAGGAAATGTGAGATTATATATACACATATATATATATGTATATATATATATATATATACATATATATATATAAATATTCAGCCATAAAAAAGAATAAAATCCTGCCATTTGAGACAACATGGGTGCACCATGATGGCATTATGCTAAGTGAAATAAGACAGAGAAAGACAAATATTGTATGATGTCACTTATAGGTGGAACCTGAAAAACAAACTCCAGTACCAGTGTTCTTTTTTTCAGATTCATTTTCCCCAAGATTACCAAGATGATATAAATGTAGACTTTAAAATTACATAAATGCAAGGCTTTGGCTAAAATATATATTATTCCCCCATTCATAGCCTAGGTAAACAGAATGTTCTTGTCTCCCTTTGCTGTTAGGAAGATTTTCTTTTTTCCCTAGTCTACTTTTCACTGAGAATGTCGAGCTTAGAGGTTCCTGGTTTTATGCAGAGGACTCCATTGAAACTCTCCACCTTAAGGCATTCCAGTGCCTTGTCTCCTGGACCACTAGGTCACCCTTGAAACCTGATGTTTTATTTTCCTGCTACATGAGGCAATGGGCATCAGAGTAGCCACTCCGTTAGCATAGGCTCACCACCTGAATTCTCAGTTTCTTTTTTTTTTTAAAGTTTTTATTCTAGGTGTTCCCTTTTATTGTGAGCTAAGCCATGCACCTCATTACACGTGCTTCATCTAACATGTCTCGGTATTTTGCAGTTGGAGGGTATTTTTCAGATATTTAGTCTGCTGTATTTTATGCCATTGCTTTTTTTAATCAGCAAATTCTAATTATTTTATATTACTGGAGTTGACCATGATTATTCATGTCTTTGAAATTATTCACGTCATTTTAATGTAAGCTCCAGGTCATGTTAATATAATATCCACGTGTCTCACTCAGTCTGCACCTATTAATTCGTGTCCCTCAATCCCCAGTGTACTCCATAAGGCTGGCGGGAAGGGAAAGCCGCTTGGAAGAACCTATAGCAAGTGACCCCGACCAGGTAGTTGATGAAATTGTTTGTGCTCTGCTACCAGTCATCCAGGATAAACCGTTTGCATTTTTTGGCCACAGGTATTTAAAGTCTGTTTTAAAAGACATTTGAGGGAGTTTCTTCCATCACAAGTCAATGGTTAATATTTTTCTTTGCATTGTGTGAGATGCATACCTTTCATATTGGTTACTCATCACTGCTTGAAGGGGTGGGTGATGGATTAAATAGCTATAGCTGTTCTCGAACAACAAAAACAGACTGAAAGACACTGCAATAGGGACCATAAAGATGTAAATGCCAGGTGGTGTAATGGATTGAAATCTTTCTTTAAGGAGTGTGCAAATCTTGGGCTCTTTTTGGTATCTTCACTTTGGAACCTGGAGTAATTATGGATGTTGAGTAATTATGACCAGACACAACTCTTAAAATTGGCTACTTTGTATAGTAATTATACCGTTTTTCCTTTTAGGCAAAATAAAAAATAATCAAGACTTTTTTAAAATCAAGACTCTAGCAGTAACTTACATCCCACTTATTTTTAAAATTAAAAAATTATATAAATAGTATATAATTCTTAAGCTAGGTTGTATAATTTTAAGGTTAGATTGTGAACCCTGGAGTTTTGACTGCCTCTTACTCAGCTCAATCTTAGGCAAAATTCCTTAGGTGTCTGAATTAGTTTTCTCCTCTGTAAAGCTGGAATATGAATAGCTCCTACTTGTGGGAATGAAATGCATAATGATAATAAATTATTTGGTGTATGGCAAGGACTCACTAAATTTTGGCTACTATATTGTATAATAGTTACAGATATGGTCAGGCAAAAAATAAAAAGTATGCGTCATCCTAGATAATAGTGTAGTTCCGTAGTATTTTTACATGGTGAGGTCCCGTTTCACATCTTTTCCTGACCTTTCTTCACTGGTTATTGCCGTGGAGGCTTTTTACTGCTCTAAGAATACATCGCTTCATGACTTGTTTTATCAATCTCCTCCTATGGACATAAGAGTTACTTCTATCTTTTTGTTATAAAACCACTTCAGTGAACATTTTTGTAGAAAGTTTAGTATGTATCTCATAAGTTTCTTAGGATAAATTTCTAGAATTTAGGTGAATTGATATGCACATTGTTACAGCTCTTGATATATATTCCCAAATTGCCTGTAAATTACACCCAATTAGCAATGAACATGGGACTGAGTTCCTCTTTTGTCCCCTAAGATAGTTACCCAAAAGATCTGTAGCAGTATTGTATACAAAATACATCTTTTTAATGCAGTGGTTCTCAACCTTCCTAATGCCGCGATCCCTTAATACAGTTCATCATGTTGTGGTGACACCCAATCATAAAATTATTTTTGTTGCTACTCTATAACTGCAATTTTGCTACTGTTATGAATCGTAATGTAAATATCTTTTTGTTTTCCGATGGTCTTAGGCGACCCCTGTGAAAGGGTCGTTCGACCCCCAAAGGGGTCGCGACCCACAGGTTGAGAACCGCTGATTTAATGTCTACAACAACTCACAAACTTTTTGGTCCCAGCACTGCTTTAATACTTTTAAAAAGCATTGAGGACCTTGAAGAGCTTTTGTTTATGTGTGATATAATGTCGCCATTTACCATATTAGAAATTAAAACTAAGAAATCCTAAAGATATTTAACTTACTTTAAAATAACATTAATAAGACCATTAAGTGTTGATATATTTATGTAAAAGGCTATGTTTCCCCCCCCCCCAAAAAAAAGTAGTGAGAAGAGTGGCATTGTTTTATACTTTCACAAATCTGTTTAATGTCTGGCTTCACAGAAGACAACTAGATTTTCATTTCTGCTTCTGCACTTAAACTATTGCAATATCTCATGTCATGCAGCCACTGGAAAACTCAGCTATGCACTCATGAGAGGGTGAGAGTAGAAAAGGCAGGAAATAGTGTAGGATTATCATAAAAATAGCTTTAACCTCATAGACTGCCTGAAAAGGTCTGAGGAATTCCTGGGAAACCCCAGACTATGCCTATGGTTTGAGAACTGCTGATGTACACTATAAAAGACATAGTGATTATATACCTAAAGGGAGAAAAAGAAATTTAAGTGGATTTCAAGACATTGTGGAAATAAGTACTAAATCTTAGACTGAATTATCGAGGATGTCTTAAAACACTTTTTATCCTGATATAAATAGTTGGAAGTAAATCTTTTATTAGTACATTTATTATTCAACTAACATGTTTTTCTTTGCTTGTTTCATGATTATTGCTGTGTTTATGATCCTTCTTTGTTCTTATTTAACTTCTAATGGATTATCATGAGTTTGTTGAACAGTTATTATGTTTTTCTTTCCCAAATTTAGTATGGGGTCCTATACTGCTTTTCTGACTGCAGTACAACTGAAAAAAGAACACAAACTAGAACCGATACATTTATTTCTGTCAAGTAGTTTTGCTCCTTATGTAAGTAATTTCATTTTCCTTAGGCTGGGTGATAGAGAGGAGGGAAATGGGGACGGGGAAAATCATGCCATTATTTTCCTATCTGGTGAAGTTTGATACAGCCTGGGGATGATGGTGGGAATACTATTGGCTAATGAAAAGACCCTCAAATCTCTTTCAATATCATCATCTCCCGTTTTCTCTGAAATGCACCTTAAGTGTTTCCTGGTCAGTGCCTGCAATGTCCCTGGCATCCCCTAGCGCTCTCTCTCTCTCTCTCTCTCTCTCTCTCTCTCTCTCTCTCTCTCTCTCTCTATATATATATATATATATATATATATATATATATATATATATATATAGTTTTGTTTTGTTTTTTACTTTTTTTTCTTTTATCTTTTGTTTTTTTTTCATCTTTTTTTCTTTCCTTCCTCCTAGCTAGTATTGACCCTAGTGCTTCTTCGTTCTGGGTCAGCTGGGAACTTAATCAACTTTCAGCCAAATAACTGGATCAGAGCCAGGAAAGTGTCCTTGAAATCTCCACAGGGATCAATGACGTCCATGTTTCAGAACCACCCTGGCTTTGAAAGCAGAGGATGCCGTTCCCGTTGAACACGCACTTACCCTTTGCTCTCCCTTCCCGCTTCTGGAGGAAGGCCCTGATTGCCATTTTGGTGGCATTATGACACTGGGATTCCTGGTGTACAGGAACTTCCTTCTCCCTGTTCTTAAAAAGAAACAGGTCTCCCTTGAAACCTGTAGATAAAGAAGTCCACTTCTGCACCTTGCTTTCATGACTTTTCCCGTAGGGAGTTTTCTGTTTATGAACAAGTACATTATATGAAATGTCAGACTATGTTGTCAATGTTTCAAGGAAAAGAACTCTCGACTTGCCGAATATCAACAAATGTCAGACGAGCAAGCCAGCGTGTTCCTTACGGATATCGGAGGCACTCCCAAGAATTTAACTGACAACAAGGAACTTTTCAAACAAACTATTTCCAAAATGAGAGCAGATGGAGAACTTTTTAAAAAGTACATGTGAGTAACTGAGATGTTATTTTTTTTTAAATAGCTATCTATAGAAAAATGTAGATTGGCAGTTCTCTGAGGCTGCATATTTATACAAGAAGACAACACTCGAAGAGTTTGATTTCATTTCCTTTGGGGACACCTGTGATATTTTTACTGGCTTAGAATGGAGCTGGGCACAGAAATTGTATCAATAAAAGATGATAGAGCATATTTGTCTTTTAAAAAATAGACATAATATATGTGTGTGATTCAACATACATGTTTTATCACATAACAAATATTTGTTGAATAAATTAATGCCAAGGTATTCTCATTTTCTTCAAAGCAGATGCCTCCTCTTCCAGTTGTGTGGAAGTAAACCAGGGGAGGAAGGAGAAGATGGCTTTTTGTGTGTGTGAATTTTGTGCCAGAACTCATTTAGCTCCATGGCACCTGACTATTCCTTTGTCTCATGAAATGGGTGTATTGATGCTTGATTCTGCTGGTAGGACTGAAGTCCTAACATTCTGTAAAGCCTTCCCCATAATCTAAACCTACCAAAGGCTCTTCCCAGTCTAACTTCCCCATGACAGTTATTGTGGGGCCAGACTTTGACCCTTACTCACCATGAGATTCTGACATGCATTTCTACTAATGGGCCTGGGCTTGTCTCCTCCTTGTACATTCCTTTGGCCTATGTTTCCTTCATTTCCTCCACAAAGCCTAGAACTGGGCGTACGGCCACCATGGGAAGTGCTTGTGACTAGAAGTTTACACACATAGCTACAAAATGTGGAGCCAACATGAAGCACCTTGAGAACACAGATAATCCCGCTCATCACGCCATTCACTGCCCGCCTCCAATCTGTCACTAAGTCCGCCAGCCGCCTCCTGGATGCCCCAAGTCTATTTACCTCTGGCCATTTCTGTCCCAACCACCTTCGCCCAAGCGTGCTTCTCACAGGGATAAGCTGTCCATGTTGCTGGCTTAGCACAGAGTCAGAATGAAAGCAACACCAGTCTGACATACTCCCCTCCCCAGTGGAAAGGTAATTCAAATTACTGCAGACATTGGGTGAAGTATATATGCAAAAGCTGGTTTTTAATAAGTAAGCCCTGCACAGTGGTTAAACATGCTGTCTTAGACTCCACTAACCAGGATCAAAACCCTCTGCCTGCGCCGCTCACGTCCTGCGAGATTCAGAGCAAGTTTCTCAAACAGTTTGAGGCTCACCTGTCAGAGGAAGGGATCAGGGCAACCCCCTCCAGGTGTTGTGGTGAGCACTAAATGAGGTCAGGTTAGCAACAGAACTAACCACAGCAATGTCTTTTTCTTTTCTTTTCTTTTTTTAAGATTTTATTGGGGAATTGGGGGAGGGGAACAGCGCTGGGGAGTCGGGGAAGGGGAACAGACAAGTTGCTGTCTTTTTGTTCTTCTGTTTTGTTGTGGAGGACGTGGCTTCACTGGCCCATGTTGGTATTACCATTGCGCTCTTCCCGGCTTCGCCAATCACTCCCGGCCATTGGACGGCTGCTCATGGCAGCTCATGGCAGCTCATGACAGTGCTCGCCAGCTGCCAGCTGCCAGCCAGCCCCACTGTAGCCTACGCCGTCACCGGCGACTCACAGCAGCCCAGATCCAGGTCGAGCTATTGTTCATCATCATAGCTGTAGAGGGTGCAGTGTCACTGGCCCTCATGTGGGATCTGAACCTGAGCCCTACTGCTCAGAGCTGGCGTCCCAAGCCAACTCTTAACCAACGTGCTACTCAGCCAGCCTAACCACAGCAATTTCTAAAAGCAAAACACAACAAAAATTCACTACCAAAGGCTCTTGTGGCTTCATTAACATTTGTTAAGTGGAGCCCCAGGGTGTTGATGGTGGGCCACATTCAACAACATAACCACCAGAGAAATTGAAATAGAGAAATTACTCATGGGTCCTAGAGGAAGTCCACAGCATGCCTGGAGGGTCAGTGTCAGGTCAAGGTCCCCACAGGCATATCTTAGCTAAACTCTCAACAGCTCTCCAAAGAAACCTTCCCAACACCAAAATAAATAATAAATCACTCACAGGGATAGCGCACCCATACAATATGGAAAACCTTAACATTCGCACCCTCTCCCCAGTGAACTGGGTCACAATAGCTACCCACAACCATTGGCTTCCTCTGCCAATTCCAAAAATTCTCCCCAAACCCTGCTCTATAGATTCCTCTTTCCTATTCACTCCTGTTCCTTCCACATTCTCAGTCTATTCTGTCTTCTCATTTCTGTAGCTCTTAGCTGTTTTGAATACGGGGGGGGGACAGGGGGACTGCTGGACATTCAAGGAAGAAGAAATCAGCTAAAACGTTAAAGTGCTGGAGACCAAGGGTAGGTGGAGGTGGGTGGTGGGTGGGGAAGTTTTTAGATGCAGTCTACACTGACTCACAGGTCTTTTTCCATGGGCCTCCACTAGGGGGGTTCATAAGAAAGACTAGGAACAAGGCAGGAGGCCAGAAAGAGGGCCCTGGGTGGGGCAAGTGAGCCGTAGGAAATTGGCTGTGGCCATAAAATGGGTGCTAAACCTTGGCCCCTGCCCAGGCCCTTCTCTCCTACTAAGCAAAGCCCCAAGCTGCTGGAGGAGGGACACCAGCCCCTTGCAGGCAAAGATACACAGCTGCAGGAGATGGAAGCCTTAACCCTCTACCTTTGGGTAAAGAGTGGGAAATGGTCTTGGCCCCAAATCTATAACAAAACTTCTATTTCTGGGGGCGTGGGGACAGAAACTGCCACCCATGACCAACCCCAGACACAAGGAGACGAGGCAGGTGTGCTGAGAGAGTCCCCCCCCTGTGTTTTGCACATGTGAGCCAGTCTATACACATCCCACCTCTCCTTAGAGGGCCTGACCCTCCTTGGAATTCAGTTTCCAGTTTGTCTTTCAAACTCAGCTCTCTTATGAGTTCAAGGAAAGTTATGATCTTGTAGTTTGTCAGGCTTTTTCTCATCGTCAGGCTGGGAGGCCAGTCCTAGTTTTCTGCATTCTGGGCAGCAGTGGGAATTCTTGCCTGGACTATTGAAAGAGCTACCGAACTGATCATAGAGCCCTTGTCCCCCTCCAGTCCAGTCCCCACATTATACCCAGAGGGATAAAAGTTGGGTTTGGTCATGACACACTTGCCTTAACTCCTTTGGATGGCTTCCTGTCATTCTAAGGATGACCAAAATCTGTTATATGGCCTGGACTTGGCCCTTCCCATCACTTCTACCTTAATTTGTCCCAATCCCCCCATCGCTCTCTGAATAACCACTGGTTTGTGCTCATCCTCTACCCTCTTCCCCTGCTGCCTCTCTCCCCTTTGTCAAGGTTTTTTTTTTTTTTTAATTTATTGTTAGTTTCAGGTGTACAGAACAATGCAATAGTTACCCTTTTCACCCTCACAAAGTAACAACCCCCCTCCCCCCATCCACTGCCCTCCCA